ATTATGTACATTGATTATAATCTTATTTATATATTAATTTTAATTTCATTTATATCTATATATTGATTTTAACTGATTAGTAAGTTTTTTTTAGTTTTATATATTGATATAAATTTTGTATATTAATTCTAATATGACATATTTTATTTTACTTGAAAATAGTAAAAGTCAATATGTAATGCGTACAAAACAAAAATAATTGAAACTTGTATGATCAATCATTTAATAAATATATTGTTTTCTAAATAATATAATATATATATACATGTTAAGAATAAATCAAGTGATGGAGAGATTGAAAAAAGTTTGTCTGAAAAAAGACTTTGTTGAATAATAATGGTTTGTAAAATAAAGAATACTTCAAATGATAGAGAAAAAGAAAAAGAGATTTATTGATGGACAAATCATAGAGGAGCACATGGAAGGGTTGGGAGGTTTCACCTCCAAGAATGAAGATGAAAAGGTTGTAGGTTAAAATTTTTAAAATTACCAAAAGAACCTTATCCTAATGAATTTCATGTTTTAACTATAGGGATGGAAAAGTCTTTTACATATATCAAATATTTTAAAAATCAAAAATCTAAGAAAAAATAATGAGAGGTTTTTAATGTTTAGAGGACGACACCTTATTATGTTTGGTTTCTTCTTTAAGAAGTAAAAATATTTGAAAATAATTTTTAAGCCCATTGCTAAAGAAGGAAAAAATCGCAATAGACCGATCAAAATCGATGTCTTAAAAACCATATGAAAGATTACCGATCTTAAAAAATCATAAACCATCTTTCTTGATACACTTTTTTAGCATCAATGCAAAAATATTCTAGCTTAATGTTTATCAAGTTCATGGATAAACAAACAAAAAAATACTTATTTTTATGTTCTACATATGCTTAAAAAATGTTACCTTATTTCATCAATGATTCATATGTCACTTTATCCACACACAAAAATGATTCATATGCTTGCATAATTCCAATTTTAGTGTGAATGTCTCCAATTAAAAGACGAAGTACTATACTTACATCAACAAAAACCCATATCATATATGTCTTTTTGAATGACGCATCAAATCAACAAAAATGCAAATCATCTCCACAAAAACTGAATAGATGAAGAAGTGAGAAATTAAGAGAGATTGTTATGCTTAAACAATGTTATCTTATTTCATCAAGGATTCATATGTCACTTTATCCACACACAAAATATTCATATGTCTACATAATTTCAGCTTTAGTGTGAATGTCTCCGATTAAAAGACGAAATACTATACTTACATAAACAAAAACTCATACCGATTTGTCTTATTGAATGACGTCTCAAATCAACAAAAATATACATCGCCTCCACAAAATTATAACTGAATAAAGAGGAAGAATTGAGAGATTAATAGATAGATTATCATAGAGGTATACCATGAAGAGAAGATGGAAAATTATAACTGAAAAGAAAAAATTAATGAGAGTTAAAAATCAATTATTAGAGGGAACATGAATAGGTTGAAGTAATTAATGAATATCAAAAATCAAAAATAAATATTGAAGTGAGAAAAGCTTGAGAAAAGAAGATAAATGATAAAACATTTTCTAGCTTTGAGAAGATGTCACGTCATTGTACGTAGTTTCTTCTTTAATATATATATATATATATATATATATATATATTACACTTTTGATCATTGTGATTGTCATTTTGTTTCATTTTTGATTGCTAATACTAACTTTTATTAAATAGGTTTGTTAACTTAGGAATATTTTCATGTTTTTATATTTTTTTCGTTCTTTATTAAATAAATAAACATTATTATTATTATGTAAAAAAATGTGTTTTTTTGACAAGTCTATGAACAAATTACAAAGATATCAAGTAATTTTGGTGAACTCCGGTACCCCCTCTCCCTTTGCTGGCAGCCCTTCTTCTTCTCTCCGTTGAGAAGATTCGGCGTATCAGCTCCGTTATCTCTCTCTCCCGACATGAACATCTCCTTCACGGTATCTCTCTCCCCGGCAGATCTGGTCTATAACTTCTTCATGGTCTCTCTCTCTCTCTCTCTCTCCCGACGTGAACACCTGCATTCCTTGTTTCATCTCAAAGGCGACCTACATCTCAAATTTGGGTTTGAATCGATTTTTGTTTTTGTTTTATTAGGGTTTTCATTTAGGGTTTTGATCTAGTTTTTTATTTAAGGTCTGATTTAGTTTCTGATTTGTGTTGGATTTAGTTTTTTATTTTTATTTTAGAATTTGTGTTTGTTTTGAACGTGGGTTTGTGATTAGGGTTCCCAGATGAAATTGGGTTTGAGGCCGGAGATGTCACCTATATATATATATATATATCATCTGCTGATACCCGGCCAATTAATGTTTTGCAGGTAAGGAGGCGATAAAGGTGTGGGTTTTAATTATAGGGGGCAGTAGGTTTTTTCTCCCACTGTTCATCCTCTTTCTCCTTGGGTATGGGTTTATTTTGAAATACGCAGTTGGGACAGAGATCGAATAGAGGGTATGCACTGGTGAGTATTTTCTCCCACTCTTCATCTTCTTCCTCCTTGTTTCAATCGTTTTAAGCAGTGCATTACTGCTTTTGTTTTCATATATATTTTGGTTTGATTTAGTTTGATGTGGGTTTTGATTTAGTTTTTGAGTTGGGTTTTGATACAGGGTTCTAATTTGGGTTTTGATTTTGATTTTTTATTTGGGTTTGCCGGAAAGAGAGATGGGTTGCTATGACCGGAGGGATAGTGCCGATCGATCATTCACCGAATTGGGAGGTAGGGGTCCTGAGACTTGCACCAGGCAAAAATGGTTGTACACATGTTAAAGAATTTGCACATTGAAACTCATTTAAAAATATAGCAAAAGGAAAAAAAATATAAAAAAAGTAAAAAAATACGAAAATACCCTTTATCTTAACCGAGTTTTTTTTAACAGAGTGAACAAGATGGGCCAAATCCGAAACCATAAGGACCAAAAATGTAATTTTGGTCCTTAGTACAAAAGAGGAACGAAAGTTAATAGTAGGCGACAACTATATGGACTAAAAAAGGAAAAAGACAAAAATGTACAAGGACAATTATATCCTTAATTTAAGTTGGGGTTGTTTGGTTGGTTTTCTGTTAAGTTCTATATGAATAAAATTGTCTGTGTAGATTAATTTGTCTGTATGAATTGATAAGGTTTTTGTTCAGAGTGTTTTTCGTAGATAAAAATAGCATGTTTTTTTTTATTTAGGAGAGACATGTCTGGAAAATATTGGCTTTCTGCATGAAGGTCTTCCCAAGGACTCACAGAATAAGCCACTTTTTATATCATTAAGCTACTACCAGACGATCATATATAACTGACTGAATAAGTTGTGAGTCTCATTAAGCTGCTAACAAACAAACTTTTACCTTTTTAACTAAAGTTAATCAGAGGAATCAAAAGTAAAACAAAATAACTAAAAATATAATTAGTTTAAGATAAGGACCAAGCTTAATAGTGAGTAACAACTAAAGGGACCAAAAATGTAATTTACCAAAAACATTATCGGAAGACCAAAAAGGGGAGAAAAGCGAGGATGAAATAAACCAAGTCCTTGACAAGATCTTAGAAAATTGAAGCAATTTACACTCTGGGGGCATTACTGTAATTTTCAGTGAGGGCATTCAATTGCAAACGGATTCTACCCGTTTTCTCCTGGGTTTCCTCTAAAACCCGAGATTTTGTGTTTCTAATAACATCTCCAAGTAAGCTTATTAGATAATTTTTTAAATGGGTAATTGACAAGATAAACAGCTCCAACACAGAACCATAATTCCAGCATCACTCTGTGTAGCATAAGCCATAAATCTGCAAATAACTCAACAAAGAACCACTAATTTTTCTTACCTTTTTTTGAGATCGAGAAGCAGAAGAAGAGATCGAGAGGGAAGATGAGATGTGGGTTCTCAGAGATGGAGAGGCAGAAGAAGACCCATTATCTTTCTTGAGAGATCGAGAGGCAGATCGAGAGCTGAGAGCGAGACCTTGAAATTGAGAGCTGTTGAAATCGAGAGCTGAGAGCGAGACCTTGAAAATCGAAAGCTGTTGAAATCGAGAGTTGAAAGCGAGACCTTGAAATCGAGAGCTAAAGAGAGCTGAGAGCGAAATGGAAATGGGAGGAGGTTCTAAATTGATTCCAGACATAGGATTCCCACTTAAAATTAAGAGGACGGTAAGAGGTAAAAAAAACTCTTAATTTAAAAAAAACAAACGGTGTGAAATCACTTATTTCTGACCGATGAAGAGTTAAGAGGTAATTAAGTGGAGAATTATAAAAAACAAACAACCCCCAATAACCGGTTGAAGTTGTATCTTTTTCAAATATATTTTCATTTTTCATTAATTATTAATTATTAAATACTAAATATAAAAAGTTTTTGAAAAGGTTGGTTTTAAAGATAAGTTTTTGTTAAATAAAGTTAATAAAAATATGAATAAAAAGTCAATATAAGACTTACGCATTTGTGGATACTCCTAACGGATTTGCATTCACTGATTGAAGGCTGTTTACCAAATGCTTACGCAGTAAAATTAACACCATCATTTACTTATCGGGTAAGATTTTTAATTTTGCCTTGGTTTTTTGTCATTGTTATAGGCTTATATGGATTTGGGTCTCCCTTCACTTGGTCTAAAACTGAACAAATGCAATTTAGTTATTTGTATGGTACAAGTAATCATAGTAGCCCACAAAATTGACTTCAGACGTTGTTGTTGCTTCAAAACACAAAATACCCCTTTTAACTGTAAATTAAAGCCAAAAAGATTGATCAGATTGTATGTATGGGAGCATCTCAAAATGAGTTGCTTCTACTCCTTTGTTCTACTCTTCATCCTGATCACAGCTAGTGGTGCAATTGCAATAGACACCATTTATTCAAATCAGACCCTCAAAGATGGTGGCAGTGACACCATTCTTTCACCAACTCAAATCTTTCAACTGGGCTTCTTCAGCCTTGGGAATTCAAGTTTACGCTACTTGGGGATACGATATAACACCATATCAACAGGTACTGTTGTGTGGGTTGCTAATAGAGAGGTTCCACTTAATGATCCCACAGGTATGCTCAAAGTCAATGACGATGGGACCCTACAGCTTCTAACCGTTGACAATACCTTAATTTGGTCATCTCGATCTTCTAAACTAGCCATAAATGCAAGTAATCCGGTGGCACAGCTTTTGGATGATGGAAATCTTGTCCTCAAAGATCAGATTAGTGGCAACCTCATTTGGCAAAGCTTTGATCATCCTGGAGACACCTTGCTACCAGGAATGAAACTGGGTGTGGACCTTGTAACGGGTACACACAGGAACTTGGCATCATGGAAGAGTTCTAATGATCCTTCACTAGGTTTTTATACAGTTTGGACGGACATCAATGGATATCCACAATTACTCAACAAGAAAGAAGATTCGCATTTGGTACAAAGGCTTGGATCTTGGAACGGTCTGGGATTTTCTGGGATGCGTGGTTTGGGACAAAGCAGCTTCTATGCATTTGAGTTATTTTTGAATCAGGAGGAGATTTACTACAGATATACACTAGTAAACAATTCATCCTATACAAGGATGAGATTAGATCCACAAGGCACCTTTTATCATTTAGTTTGGAGTGATCAAAGCCAATCATGGGTATCATCTATGATGCCTTTCTTGCACCGTTGCCGTTATGATTCATGTGGTCCTTATGGAAGCTGTAACATTAATAACTCCCCAGAATGTGGGTGTTTACAAGGATTTGAACCCAAGGTGCCTGAAGACTGGTCTATTGGAGATTGGTCAAATGGGTGTAAGCATGTAAATTTTATGACTACTGAAAATAGGCATAACTTCAAGAAGTTTTCAAATCTGAAATTGCCCGACTCACAGTATTCGTGGTTCAATCTTACCATGTCTCTTGGTGAATGTGAGAACGTTTGCGTAAGTAATGTTTCTTGTACAGCTTATGCAAATAGTGATATTAGAGGCGGCGGAAGTGGATGTTTATTGTGGTTCAGTGAGCTGCTTGGCATCAGAGAGGCTCCTCCGGGAGATGGTTCAGGACAAGAAATTTACATAAAATTTCTTGACCCAAATATTATTAGTAAGTGCATTCTGATTCCTTTTTGTGTCCACAAGTCCTATTCTTATGGTTTCTCAAACCTTATGATAGTACCAGTTATTGCATGCCAATGTGCCAACACGAAAGAAAAACACCCAACATCTAACTTTTGTTACAAAAACAATTAATGTACATGGTTGGACTATCATTTAGTACTGGAAATAGAATTAGAATTAGGATAGAATTGGGTTTTGGTTAGGTTTCATATGATTGTCGGTCAAAGGCCAAAGGAACGATCTCGTGTGCTACATACACGTCATACTTGGAAATCTGAACATTCACATGGTATCATAGCTTTTAAGGTTAATACTTGGTACAACCACAGGAGGGTTTTATTTCCTCGCCTCCAGCACTTTAGCCGTAGGAAGAGATATAGCTCATATCACGACCTCATTGCAGCTTCTGTGGATTTAATGCATGGCCTTCATTGTCGCCAATTTGTGCCTTGACATCCTCCAAAACCTCTGCCTCAAGGCCCTGATCTGTTGCATCAAGTCTAGTCTCCTTGGAGCCTGTTTGGCGTTCGTGGCCTAGGCTCTGAGACCTTCTGTCTGACGTCTGAATGCCTTTTGAAGCTTCATCAAAAAAAGATTACAATGACAGTATGATGTGATAACTCGTCCCACATTGATGGAAGTGGGATTATCACCTCATGAGTGGACTCCATCCTTTGACTTGTTGGTTAACTGTGAATCGGTTGACAATTTGGCTTCATGAGTGGACTTCTCTGTTTTGACTTGATCAAATTGCTTCTGTTGTTTAGGATACTTGGGTCTCTCATGGATTATAGTTGGTTTGCTTTTGCTTGTGTAGCTTAGGATACTTGGTTCACTCTTTCACTATATTAATTTTGCTTGGCTAGATCGATTGGATGTTCAGGTCTGCTCATGTTAGTTCGCATTAACTTGGATGCTTGATTTTGTGTAGATCAAACAAGGTAAATAAGGCACATACGATATATAGTCAAATACTATGGAAGTACTATGCTATTTCTTCGCCATACCCATCTTCAAACAAACAGGATCACACTTAGTCAGAAACTTGGCAAGATGGACACCTTAACGAACTGAAACTAGCTTTGATAGATAAGGGATCTCTATATGTGCCAAACATGTTTATTGTTCCCTAACAAACGGAAACTAGCATTGATAGATAGAGGATCTCTATATGTGCAAACCATTTTCCCAGCCATAGGTGTGGAATTAGTAGGGAAATTTGAAATAGTCATTCACACGCTTTTGCTGCAAGTAACCTACTGGAGCTGCCAGCAGAGGTAACCAGTGCCTATATGGAGGAGTAGTGTACTTATTTGTAATATAGTCAAATACTATAAAATGTAAATGTAAATTCATCGTAAAGTTATAGCCTAGTATTAATGAGAAGTACGACCACTAACATTTTATATGGTGAAAAGGAGACAAGAAGACAAAGAAGAAATCACAGCTTAAAGTGATCTTGTCAACAATATTGCCGGTGGTTCTGCTCAGCTTTGCACTGATATTATATGCTTGGAGAACTAAGAAGAAATCACATCTTAAAGGTGAGGCTAAGTTAAACAGGTACTTTTCCTTGCAAGCTTGAAGCTCTCACTTGATAAACAAGGAAAACATCCTCATATATATATATATATATCTATATATATACATACATATATATTATCTTTGTATATATTTAGTCTACAACTAAGTAAGTCATATCATTCGTGTTTTCACATTTTATAAGCATTCGTAAACGAGGACCAGAACAAAGATTTGGAGCTACCATTGTTCAGCTTCGATAAGATAGTTAAGGCCACCAGTAACTTTTCAATCAATAATAAGTTGGGGCAAGGAGGTTTTGGTGCAGTTTATAAGGTAAATACTCCCAATGGAATTCCTTATCGAAAGAATAACTAAAGAGCCATGTACTCACAGATCTTGGTGCTACTCATGTTAACTATTTACGTCTTTATATTCACATAAAAGTGCCACAGAAAATGAAAACTAATCTGAGAGAGCATTATCAGAGTATCATCCAATCATATATAATTGAACATAGTTAGCAAAGATTAACAATGAGTATGTTAACTTACGGAGAAAAAATGATCTTCAGGGTGTGCTTGAAGGAGGAGAAATTGCTGTCAAGCGGCTGTCAAAAACGTCAATGCAGGGACTCATTGAGTTCCAGAATGAAGTTAGATGTATTGCTAAGCTTCAGCATCGTAATCTTGTGAAGCTTTTGGGATACTGCGTTCAAGGAGAGGAAAAGATTTTGATTTATGACTACATGCCCAACAAAAGCTTGGACTCTTTTTTATTTGGTTGGAAGCCCTCAAGACTATATAAAAGCACACACCTGATTAAATACTTAAACCCTGTAATACAAACTAACAATCAGTTCAAACTGGTGGCAGATGAAAACAACTCCGCGTCACTTGACTGGCCTCAACGCTACCACATTATCAACGGGATTGCTCGAGGACTTCTTTATCTCCATCAAGATTCCAGACATAGAATAATCCATAGAGATCTCAAAGCTAGTAATATCTTGCTTGATTCCAACATGAACCCAAAAATATCGGACTTTGGCTTGGCTAGAATGTTCAAAGAATATGAGACCGAAGCCAAAACAAAGAAAGTTGTTGGTACATTGTAAGAATCTATTAGTCACACTGTTCATTATAGCTTAACATGTCTTCTGTACCATTTCACTTGGATGCAAATGTACTGTAGGGGTTACATTTCTCCAGAGTATGCAGCAAATGGGGTTTTCTCAGTAAAATCAGATGTATTTAGCTTTGGTGTTTTGGTGTTAGAGATTGTGAGTGGGGCGAAAAACAGAGGATTCTCTCATCAAGATCACCACAATAACCTTCTTGGGCATGTAAGTTGGGTAAAAAAAAACAGTCTCATTCTCATGAATTTGGTTAGTACTAACCTCATCTTACAGATCTTTAAATTGGTTTAGGCATGGAGACTCTACAGGGAAGCCAAGCCCCTGGAACTGGTTGATGTAGCTTTAGGGGGCTCGTGGAATGTTTCTGAAGTGCTTCAATCAATACATGTTGGTTTATCATGTGTGCAACAACATGCAGAAGATAGACCAAGCATGTGGTCCGTGATTCACATGTTGGGTGGTGAGGGTGCACCACCTCCCCCAAAACAACCTGGATTTTTCACGGAGTCTACCTTAAGCATGCCAGAAGTGCCGGTTTCCATCAATGAAGTCACAATTACACAATTAGATGCTAGGTAATTACATAAAGGCATATAGAGCCATGACCAATCACACCACACATGTCATCAATTGTTCAATCAAGAGTTTTTATGTGTTTGAGAGCCATAGAATAGGCTCTCACAAAAAAGATGTCCAAGGGCGCATAGGTGTTTACTATGGGTTTTTTTTTCTTCTTCTTCTTTCGGTGAATCGCTTGAAGTCAAATATCTTGTTTCACCTTGTCTTATAGGGTGAGTGTTGAACACATCTGTTCCACATAAAAATCATGTCAAATATGAAACGGTGATCCATGTTTTATTTTATTCAATCCATCCATGTTTTACCAAATGCACCAAAGTTTTGTTTAATTTTTCTCTTTTATCTCCTCGTGCGATAATGAATGTATGCGCTTTTCTGATTTCTCTCTTGGAATGTATGTTTGGTTTTGTTAAACGTGTGATTATGTGTAGATTTTCAAATTCTGTTTTTAGTTTGAAAGATGATCTAGTCGAAGTTTCAAGTAAACTGATTGAAATCAAATAAATAATTCCCAATTTTGTTCCCCAAATTATTTTTTTGTCAAGATTTATTCACTTACGGTTGGTAGTTAACTCAACAATTATCCATAAAGTACTTTCGAATGTTCTAGATAGGTAAGTGAGACAAATTTTGTGTAAATTTCGATTTACTTTTTGTTTTTGTTGTGGATTCTCTCCCTCCCTCTCTCTCTCAATTTGTAATTTTATAAGAAAATACATTAAAAATAAGGACACATTTTTTAAGCATCTCAATTCCAATTTCCATTTTTTTTCTTCTCAAATTTTGCTTTTTATTGATCTAATTATTATCAAAATATTAAATAATTAGACTATTCATCTTCGTTAGTTACATTTGAATTTATTTATTATTTTTATTTTACATGACTCTAATTTTTTATTCATATAATAACTAATGAATATATATAATCAATATATTTAAAAACTCATTTATATAAACGAAATTAAAATTAATATGATCATCAACTATTTATCTTCAATTTTTTTAAACTATCGTCACGTACAACACAGTTTCAAACGCTAGTTTATGTTAATATTACTACTTGGAACTCTTTCTACATCAATTTGAAGCTTTAAAATGTTAATAAACATGTATTAATTAGCTAATTTTAAAATCTCAAAATCACATGTTATCAAAGACTATTGAATTTTACCCATTTTGCTCATTTGAGTAGCATTTGAGTAGCGCTACTCAAATGCTTCACTGATGCTATATTACAAAGCTTCAAAGCTCTCAAGCTTAAGGTCCGTCATTGATTCTGCACCGGCTTAGGTTAGTTGTGTGGGCGGGGTGGGCTGCCCACCTTCGAATGGTGTTGAGCAGACAACTGTCTTATTTATCCACCTAGCTTTTCCCCGTGGTATAGCGATTCGGGTGGTTGGTGGCCCCTTCTAGAAACAACTTGGGAGAAATTTTTGAGAAATTTCAACGAAAGACAAATTTTTGAGAAATTTCAACGAAAGACAAATTTTTGAGAAATTTCAACGAAAGACTTTGTTGTGGTTGCAAGGCTTAACACTACAGACTTTAATGCTTCAAGACACAAATATATTCAAGGACTAAGGAGACTGCTAAATATCAACTGTAAACTAAGCCAAGATCGACCAGATTGTATGCAGCACCTCAAAATGACTTGCTGCAACTACTCCTTTGTTCTACTGCTCTTCATCCTGATCACAACTAATGGTGCAATTGCAATAGACACCATTTATTCAAATCATACCCTCAAAGATGGCGACACCCTTGTTTCAGCAAGTGAAATCTTTGAATTGGGGTTCTTCAGCCTTGGGAATTCAAGTTCACGGTACCTGGGGATACGATATAAGAACATATCAACAGATAATATTGTATGGGTTGCTAATAGAGAGGTTCCACTTAATGATCCCAGAGGTATGCTTAAAGTCAGTGACGACGGAACCCTACAGCTTCGGAGTGTTAGCAATAACTTAATTTGGTCATCCCAGTCATCAAAACCAGTCACAAATACTGGTAGTAATCTGGCGGCACAGCTTTTGGATTCCGGAAATTTTGTCCTCAGAGATGATACGAGCGGCGAATTCATTTGGCAAAGTTTTGATCATCCTGGCAACACGTTGCTACCGGGAATGAAAATTGGCATGAACCTTGTAACGGGCATAAAGACGAACTTGACATCATGGAAGAGTTCTGATGATCCTTCAACAGGTTCTTATACACTTTGGATGGACATCAGTGGGTATCCACAATTATATATTATGAAGGACGAATCAAGTTTCCAACAAAGGCTTGGATCTTGGAATGGTTTGGGTTTTTCTGGGGTGTCTGGTAGCTCATCACACAGACCCTACATGTTTGATTTTGTTTCAACTGACGACGAGATTTACTTAAGATACACATCAGTAAATACTTCACTAGTCACGAAGATGATATTGGATCAACAAGGTTCCTTTAACGTGTTTTTTTTAAATACTCTAACACAATCATTGTATTTGTATACATTGACAATCCGCGATGGTTGTGATCGTTACGGTATATGTGGTCCTTATGGAAGCTGTAACATTGATCATGCCCCACCATGTGCGTGTTTAGAAGGATTTGAACCCAAGCTGCCTGAAGAATGGTCTCGTGGAAAATGGTCAAATTGGTGTAAGCATGAAACTCTTATGACTAGTGAAAATGGGCATAACATCAAGAAGCTTTCAAACCTGAAATTGCCCGACTCACGGGATTCGTGGTTTAATAAAACCATGTCTCTTGGGGAATGTGAGAATGTTTGCGCTCGTAACGTCTCTTGTACAGCTTATGCAAATACTGATATAAAAGGTGGTGGAAATGGTTGTTTATTGTGGTTCACTGAGTTGATCGACGTCAGAGAGGCTTCGACCAGAGACAATTCAGGGCAAGACATATACATAAGCATGCGCAATCCAAATACAATTCGTAAGTGCATTTCTGATTCATTCATAGTTGACAAACAGTCCTTGCTAAATTTTGAAGTTAAAAAACCCAAAAGTGGCTTCTGTTCCGAGTGGAGTATAGTTTGTGTAAATCAAACAAGTTAAATAAGAGTGAAACTTCCAAACAATGAAGTACATACGTTATTAAGTATACATAAAGTAGGCCCATGGACCTACACTGGTACACAAAAACGGAGCCTACTACTTGTTACAAGTACCATGCAATTTCTTTGTCACACCCATCTTCAAACAAATAGAATCAAGCTTAGTTAGAAATTTTGCAAGATGGACGCCTTAACAAACCAAAACTAGCTTTGATAGATAGGGGATCTCTATATGTGCCAACCATTTTCCCAGGCATGGTGGGGGATTAGGGGAGAAGTTCAAAATAATCCTTCACAGACTTATGCTGCAAGCTAGTGACCAACTGGGCAACTGGCAGTGCCTATATAGAGGAGTGATGTACCTTTTTTTTTATTAACCTGGATATCCAACCCGCTATGCGAGCCGACTAATCCCAAGACGACCACCTGCTTGGTAACTTGGTAAAATACCTAGGGATGTGAATGTAGTTTCCCTGCTAAGTTATAGTATTAACTACAACTACCATCACTGACATTTCGTATGGGTGAAAAGGAGAGGAGGAGAAGAAGAAGAAGAAATTACCGCTTCAAGTGATCTTGTCGACGGTAATTCCAGTGCTTCTGCTAGGCTTCGCACTGATATTATATGCTTGGAGAAATATGAAGAAATCACATCTTAAATTTGAGGGTAAGTTAAAAAGGTACTTTTCCTTGCAACTTGCAATTTTGAAGCTCTTACCTTGATAAACAAGGAAAACATAGCTATATATATATATATATATATATATAAAATATTCTTTGTATATATTTCATCTACAACGTAATAAGTTGTACTATTCTTGTTTTCACATTTCAAAGCATTCGTAGATGAGGACCAGAAACAAGATTTGGAGCTGCCATTGTTCAGCTTGAGTAAGATAGTTAAGGCCACGAGTAACTTTTCAATCAATAATAAGTTGGGGCAAGGAGGTTTTGGTGCAGTTTACAAGGTAAATATTCCCGATGAAATTCCTTACTGAAGGAACAAATAAAAATCATGTACTTACAGATCTTGTCTCTATCGTCTTTAACTATTTACATTTTTATATTCACATAAAAGCATGACAAAAATGAAAAAAAAATCCAAGAAAACATGATAGTAGCATGCAATCAAATATATGTGTACATAGTCAGCAATGATGAACAATAAGTGCATATTTAACTTAGGGACAAAAATGATCTTCAGGGTATGCTAGAAGGAGGAAGAGAAATTGCTGTCAAGCGGCTGTCAAAAACATCAAGGCAAGGACTCATTGAGTTCCAGAATGAAGTTATATGTATTGCAAAGCTTCAGCATCGTAACCTTGTGAAGCTTTTGGGATATTGCGTTCAAGGAGAGGAAAAGATTTTGATTTATGAATATATGCCCAATAAAAGCTTGGACTCTTTTTTATTTGGTTGGACACCCTCAACTCTCAAGATTATATAAGATCACACTCTTGATAAAACCCTTAAACCCTGTAATACAAACTAACAATGAATTTGAATTTGTGGCAGATGAAAACAACTCCTTGTTACTTGACTGGCCTCAACGCTGCCACATTATCAATGGGATTGCTCGAGGACTTCTTTATCTCCATCAAGATTCTAGACATAGAATAATCCATAGAGATCTAAAAGCTAGCAATATTTTGCTTGATTCAGACATGAACCCAAAAATATCAGACTTTGGCTTGGCTAGAATGTTCAGAGAATATGAGACTGAAGCTAATACAAAGAAAGTTGTTGGTACACTGTAAGAATCTATCAATCACATTGTTCACTGTACCTTAACATATCTTCTATAGCATTTCACTTGGATTCAAATGTGTTGTAGGGGTTATATTTCACCAGAGTATGCAGCAAATGGGGTTTTCTCAGTAAAATCGGATGTATTTAGCTTTGGTGTTTTGGTCTTAGAGATTGTGAGTGGGAAGAAAAACAGAGGATTCTCTCATCAAGATCACCACAATAACCTTCTTGGGCATGTAAGTTGGGTAAAGAAGAAGTTACTCACCGGAAATTTGATCACTACTAACCTGATCTTACTGATATTTTATGTTGGTTTAGGCATGGAGACTCTACAAGGAAGCCAATCCCCTTGAACTGGTTGATGAAGCTTTAGGTGGCTCATGGAATGTTTCTGAAGTGCTTCAATCAATACATGTTGGTTTATCATGTGTGCAACAACATGCAGAAGATAGACCAAGCATGTCGTCTGTGATTCACATGTTGGGTGGTGAGGGTGCACTACCTCCACCAAAACAACCTGGCTTTTTTACAGAAGCGACCAAGTCTGAATCTGAGTCTACCTTAATCATGCCACAAGTGCTGGTTTCCATCAATGAAGTCACAATTACGCAATTAGATGCTAGATAATTATATAAAGGCATATAGACCCATGACCAAGTACCTAATCTGTGTTAGGTGATTTGGCTACACACGAAGTGCCTTCTTTTTCCTTTTTTTTCTCAGTGAATTTTGTACGAGAGATCTGGATTCTACTTCAAACCTCCCCACGCCCCCAATTCATGTTCAAGTCCATGGAATGTCAATGATAATTATTAGATGCTCTAGATGAATAAAGCATTAACCTTGTAACTTACAATCATTTGGAATTATGAGTTCATTATAGTCGGGCAGAATAGTAGCATCTTTCTTGTGTATCCAGATGGCCAGACCGCAGTATGCTACTCCATAGAACTAAGTTTCATTTCAAACAGTATCAACCCACTGTGCATGTAGTAAGTGATCACGATATAAAACATCGGAAACGATGGTCGATAAACCTAGCGCTGTCAGCAATGGAAATTCATACACAGCCCCAATTGTTCAACAAGGTCCTTTGATTTGTCTGTAGGCTCTCACATACCATGTGTCCAAGCATATAAGGGTGTGCCAGTGTTCTTTTTTGAATCATTTATGCCAATAGAAGTTATCTTGGTTAAGTGGCTTAAATTCTGGTGGCTAGAAAATGGGGAAAGATGCTATAACCGTAGGAACTACTAAATCCAATTCTATGGTCTAATAAACTACATATATTCTTTGTGAACTTTCTACAAACATGTTGTGGGCAATGAGGGTTACAAGCTACATTTTGGAATCTAATCAAGATTGTAAAATCGAAGACCATGGAGTGTGATGATTCAGAGATTACTTTACTATCACAACCCTCAAGCAAATCCTGCCATTTTACAAGCTCCATCACGGCCGACGATCAAGACCTGGTCAGTTGTCACGGAGGACAAATGCATGAATTTAATAGTCAAACCTCCGTTTCACTTTCGGCCTGATTTTTTTTTGAAGAAACCATATAAAATTAGTTTTTGGGATGGTTGTTCTACCAACAATAGTTTAACATAACCGACAAGTCTTCATCCCTTAAACCCAATCAAGACTCTAAATCCTGTTTGAAAGCAGAACGCCCAATCTATTTTGGTCATTGTTCAACCCAATTAGTTGTATCACCGACTTGATCATAATTTAAAATTGTTAAACCCACATAAAAAGAATACCATTTTGTAATTAGGACATTGTATTTGCTGCTAATCAAACCATTATAATGATAACCATCGCCATAGCCTTTTCTTTGGGATGTTAAAAGCATCTCAAACAGTTTTTCTAAAATAGAAAAAATCAACTTTTTGTTATCTACAGTGCTACAAGAGCTTTCCTATCTCATACTCTAAAATATAGAATCATGAAGAAAACTATGGATGTAGAGAATTCGTTAGAACTCTAAAGAAAAGAGAGAGATGTTTTTTTTGTTCATCCACTCAATAAGGGTTGAATTAATATAATTTTATATAAAGTTTTTTTAGAAATGCATTGAGATAATAAAATTATAGGATATTTAAATAATATAATTAATGATAAAATAGAGAATTTATTGGAGTTGAATGTAATTTATTTTAAATATTTTGACTTTTGGACCTCCATTTTAAAAAAAATTACAGGAGGAAGTGTTTTCCTGTATATGTAAAGTGCCACCACAGTTGTAGAAAGGGCAATACTTACGGCAGATAGAGCTCGAGTTCTGGCACCACAATCTCGAAAGCCAAGCCCAACCTTGGATAGAAGATTGGATTATATCATTGGATAACTGCAACAGCTATGGCATGTGTGGCCCACATGGAGGCTCTAACAACCTCACTTCTCCTTACAGTGGGTGTTTGAAAGGGTTCAAACCAGCAGAGGAATGGCGTCCCCATAACTAGGCTAGTGGATGTGAAAGGAGCGTAGCTCTGGATTGCAAGCCTGAAGAAGGCTTTCTAAAGTTTCCTGGTGTAAAACTACCAGACAAACAAGGTGCCTGGTTTGACGAGCACATGACTCTGGACTCTGGAGGATTGTGAAGTAGCGTGCAAGAATAATTGCTCTTGTACAGCTTATGCACATCCATACATCACAGCGGCCAGAACTGGATGTTTGCGATGGTTTGGTAATTTGATTGATATAAGAGTATATCCACAAAGAGGGCAAGATCTTTATGTTATAATGGATGCCTCTGAGCTATCATGCAAGTCCTCTTTTTGTAAAACCGAAGCATTTTTAGTTGATTAACTTGCCCTTCACCATGCTCGATCTATGTCTCTATCTCATAATGCCTATACTTGATCATGAATCACCCTCAACTTGACAGTATTTTGCTTATCTCAGGTCTCCAATCTGGCTCCAACAGAAAGAAACGAATGCTAATCAAAGTTATCTTGTTAACATCAGCAGCACTGGTTGTGTTAGGTATCGTCTTGGCGCTGTATGCTTGGACTTGGAGTAAGCAAAAGAGATTAAATGTAGAAGGCAAGTGAAAGGATGCCAAACCGTGACTTTTAGTTCTTTAAAATAAAAAGGCTCTTGTATACAAAGAGAAGTACTACTACTGCCATAAAGCTTATAAAAATAAGTAAAAGAAAACCATTACCAAAGCAGATCATCTGAGGCGTATGCCTCAACACCGCCTCACCCCTCACTGAACCGCCTCACTAAACCAAGGAATAAGCCTCATCCATGGTCCAAGAGGTGTTGCCTCAAGTGCGGTTTTTGGCCATTACACCTCGAGGTGTAAGCCTTGAACAAGTTTTAAAACCATGGGTACAACCATTGCTATATTAAAAATTTGTTCTACATAGAAAGAGGGGCACGAAAAGGAGCTATATCACAAGAGATGCAGGAAAGTATTCAGGATATGAGCATCTTAACTAATTAAATTACACTAATGACATTCTTCAACAAAATCATCAAACATGAAATCTCCAGTACGTTAGCCATGAGCCTATGATGTCTGGAAACAAAGTATCATGTATAAGCATCGACGCCCTAGTTCTGATCACTGCAGCCACTATAACTGAACTGGCGGCATATGAATGATCAAACAAATTGTGAAATTAACCTCTAATTCGCAAGTTTGATTTCCAATCAATTCCTCACACTTCAAATAACAAACCAGGCCCTAACAAGTATTAGATTACTCTAATGGAGATATCACGAACATTAATATTAAATTTTTAACATCTAACCGTAAATCGTGGACCAAAAACAACCCTAGCAAATGGGAATTTAATTGAAATAGAATATTGACGTCCTAATTCCTAAATGAATAATCGATACTTCAAAACTTAACTAAAGTTATATATAGCATATGTTTACTTACATAGTTACATGAGTAGATGCGAAATCGAAGTCCCATCCCCCCCCCCCCCCCGGGGGGGCCCAACAGAAGACGAATGGTACTGGAAACCACAGTTACCAGGGATGACGAAGAGAGGTGGTCACAGTCTGACAATCTCACAAAATCCGACGCCGATCGACCTCAGGTTTAGGCGAGCCCTACTGGCCGGTAGTACTGGAGACCGGAGAACGGAAGAAGTACATAGCAGTGAGGCTTTCCGAATTAGGCAGGTACGCAGAAGTAATGACAGGCAGGAGAAGAGGGTACCGGACCGGATCGGACAAGATCAGGCATAATAGTAGTACGTTTTTGTTTGGTAGGAACAGGACCGGACATAACAGAACTAGATAAGCTATTTTAAAAATTATTTAATAATTTTAAATATTATATAATAGTTATAATTAATATAAATAAATTATATAATTTAATTTATAAATATTTGTATATAATTTTCATATTTGTATCAAATTTGAATGAAAAATTTGATAGTGATTGTGTTGGTTATAGTGGAGGTGAGGTGGTAATGAATGGTGGTGGTCGTGGAGGAGGTTGTTGTAGTAGAGGAGGAGTTGAAGGTGGCTAACGGCAGTAGTGGTGGTGGCAATGGATGGTGATGGTCGACTATGGTAGAGGTGGCAATGGACTTGGTGGATGGTGGTTGTGGAGGCGGTGGAAGATGTTGTAGTGAAAGTGGAGGTGGAGGTGGAGGTGGCCGCCGATGACCGCCGGTATTGGTGGCGGCGGCCGAAACTAGCGGTGATGGTCATTAAAACAAATATTATATTAAGATTATATATCAAACTAGGGTAAATTAGTAATATTTTAGTTTCTGTGTCATTATTGTCCCATCTTGTTTCACATATTTTGGTGGAACAAGAAAAAACATTTTTTGTTTCATGTTGTCTCATCTTGTCCCAGTTTTTGTGTCGCGCCAAACGTATGACAGTGAGTTCTTGTTCTGTCCCATGTTGTGCCAAACATAGGACAGTGAGTTTTGTCCCTTTCCATATACCAAACGCAGCCTTAAAGATCGAAGAGTATTTGTATTTAACATAAAAAAAATGCTTTGAAAATAAATCTTGTCCCAGTTTTTGTCCCGTCTCATATACCAAACATGGGACAGTGAGTTTTGTCCCGTCCCATATACCAAATCTTGTCCCAGTTTTTGTGTCGCGCCAAACGTATGACAGTGAGTTCTTGTTCTGTCCCATATTGCGCCAAACATAGGACAGTGAGTTTTGTCCCGTCCCATATATCAAACGCAACCTTAAAGATCGAAGAGTATTTGTATTTAACATAAAAAAATGCTGTGAAAATAGATACACTATCTAACAATAAAAATATTTTGCAATATATGATATGTAAATACCTTTCATAAAATAAATATTATAATTTTTTTTTGTATTATTACCAATTTATGTAAATCCGAATTTATCATGATACATTTTTTTATTTAATAATTAATATAATCAACATTAGCAGTCAAAAATCCATTTGTAAATTGTTTGATTTTGGTTATTATGTGTTTGAAAACAACGTTATTGTTTCGACAAACAATATTCAATTTTTGGTAGCTTTATCGTATCCTCAAAATTGATCTTAAAATTTGGGTCGGTTAAACAATTATATATTGTTCCTCGTTATTTTATTTTTAATGTGTAATATTTCGGTTTAATTTTTACGTGTGGAGACTCTACATAATATAAAAGTCACATGATTTGGTTGATGAGTTTTTAGGGAAACATGGAGTGTTCATGA